GACCCGCCCTCCTACCCCTCTACATCAGAGTTTTCTGGAACGAAGTAACTGAGGGGGAGTGGGGTCATCTGGGCACGCTATACCGGTGCTATAAGCGCGCTGCAGTAGAGGTTGCTTGAGCCTCCCCAGTGGGTACCACACTGTGGGAAAACATTTCTGGTGACTGTGCTTTGGGCACGCGCACACCTACAGTGGAATGGACATGTGCAACACCTTTCGAAGAACAACAGTTACGGAAGGTTAGTAACCGTTGTTTATTCTACACCCATTATGCTTTAGCCCCATCTAGCCAGCTTCTAAGGTAATGCACTCCTTTGGAAGGCCCCAATTCAGCAAAGTACTTAAATATATGCTTAAGTCCTATTGCGGTCAATGGGATTTAGGCACAGATTTACAGTTGAGCACTTGCTTAAGTGCTTTGCTGACTGCTGGGGCCCCATCCTATAAACACTTATGCATGTTACAGAAGTTGTGTATAAAAAGAAATATGTATATGTGTGTGCACACAGGAAGAGACCTGGTCAGAACCCAGAATTTTTGTTCCACTGGAAATGCTGACATTTCGGGGGGCCGGGGGGGGACAGCACACACACGACTCATTCCAAATCCAGATGAGAAGCCAAAATGTTATAACTTCCCATGAACGAAAACTTCTGATTCAGGACCATCAGCAAGTTCTGTTTGGATCATGTCAAATTGCATCATTTTATAATGTCAGAATGTTTCATTCTGATAAGGTATGTCATTTTGACTTTGATTAATTTCATTTAGACTTTTTTATTATTTTAAAATATTAATTTAATATATTTAATATTTTAATACAATAGTGGAACAAAATTAATCAAAATGACAAAGTCAAAATTATACATTTTTACTGTATCAAAATGAAATGTGTTGTTAGAAAAAAACGAGAATCCCATAAAAATGTCATTGAAATTGATATGCTGCCACAAAACATTTTGATTTCAGCTAAACTGCATTTTGACAGAAAACGATTCCATCAAAAATTTTTCAACCAAGTGCTAATGTCTAGTTGGTACATACTGTACTGTGACAAAGTTCCTGCTCTACCTTGGTGGGTCTTGCACTTATTGGCAGATTTGCTCGCCTTAGAGCTTCACGGCAGCCCTCAGCTTGCCGTTTTTCTGAATTCACAGTCCAGGTCGACTCCTCCTATATCTGACCAGGAGTTGGGAGGATTTGGAGCGAACCCGGGCCCGCCCTCTACTCCGGGTTCCAGCCCAGGGCCCTGTGGAATGCAGCTGTCTAGAGTGCCTCCTGGAACAGCTGTGCGACAGCTACAACTCCTGGGCTACTTCCCCATGGCCTCCTCCCAACACCTTCTTTATCCTCACCATAGGACCTTCCTCCTGGTGTCTGATAATGCTTGTACACCTCAGTCCTCCAACAGTCCGCGTTCTCACTCTCAGCACCTAGTGCCTCTTGCTCCCAGCTCCTCACACGCACACCACAAACTGAAGTGAGCTCCTTTTTAAAACCCAGGTGCCCTGATTAGCCTGCCTTAATTGATTCTAGTAGCTTCTTGATTGGCTGCAGGTGTTCTAATCAGCCTGTCTTAATTGTCTCCAGAAAGTTCCTGATTGTTCTGGAACCTTCCCTGTTACTTTACTCAGGGAAAAGGGACCTACTTAGCCTGGGGCTTATATATCTGCCTTCTACTAGCTGTCTCCAAGAGTTTTCCATCTTAAGAATGAAGGTCTCATCTGTACAGGTGGTAGCCCTGAGCTTTGCCATTCTGGACTGGTTCTGGTCTTTGTAGTTGAATGTGGCAGGTATACAATAAAAACCTGGTTTGGTTGGGGAAAAAAAAATTACTCTCCTATAGCCATCTGGCCCGACCCTGTCAGAGTACATAAAGACAGGTTTCTGAGTAGCAGCCATGTTAGTCTGTATTCGCAAAAAGAAAAGGAGTACTTGTGGCACCTTAATGACAGGTTTCAGAGTAACAGCCGTGTTAGTCTGTATTCGCAAAAAGAAAAGGAGTACTTGTGGCACCTTAGAGACTAACCAATTTATTTGAGCATGAGCTTTCGTGAGCTACAGCTCACTTCATCGGATGCATACCGTGGAAACTGCAGCAGACTTTATATACACACAGAGATCATAAAACAATACCTCCTCCCACCCCACTGTCCTGCTGGTAATAGCTTATCTAAAGTGATCATCAAGTTGGGCCATTTCTAGCACAAATCCAGGTTTTCTCACCCTCCACCCCCCCCCCCCACACACACACAAACTCACTCTCCTGCTGGTAATAGCCCATCCAAAGTGACAACTCTCTACACAATGTGCATGATAATCAAGGTGGGCCATTTCCAGCACAAATCCAGGTTTTCTCACCCCACCCACCCCCATACACACACAAACTCACTCTCCTGCTGGTAATAGCTCATCCAAAGTGACCACTCTCCCTACAATGTGCATGGTAATCAAAGTGGGCCATGTCCAGCACAAATCCAGGCTTTCTCACCCCACCCCCACCCCCCCTTTTTTTTTTTTTTTTTTTTTTCCTGGGGACACACACACAAACTCACTCTCCTGCTGGCAATAGCTCATCCAAACTGACCACTCTCCAAGTTTAAATCCAAGTTTAACCAGAACGTCTGGGGGAGGGGGGGAGGAAAAAACAAGGGGAAATAGGCTACCTTGCATAATGACTTAGCCACTCCCAGTCTCTATTTAAGCCTAAATTAATAGTATCCAATTTGCAAATGAATTCCAATTCAGCAGTTTCTCGCTGGAGTCTGGATTTGAAGTTTTTTTGTTTTAAGATAGCGACCTTCATGTCTGTGATTGCGTGACCAGAGAGATTGAAGTGTTCTCCGACTGGTTTATGAATGTTATAATTCTTGACATCTGATTTGTGTCCATTTATTCTTTTACGTAGAGACTGTCCAGTTTGACCAATGTAAATGGCAGAGGGGCATTGCTGGCACATGATGGCATATATCACATTGGTGGATGTGCTGATAGTGTGGCTGATGTTATTAGGCCCTGTGATGGTGTCCCCTGAATAGATATGTGGGCACAGTTGGCAACGGGCTTTGTTGCAAGGATAAGTTCCTGGGTTAGTGGTTCTGTTGTGTGGTATGTGGTTGTTGGTGAGTATTTGCTTCAGGTTGCGGGGCTGTCTGTAGGCAAGGACTGGCCTGTCTCCCAAGATTTGTGAGAGTGTTGGGTCATCCTTTAGGATAGGTTGTAGATCCTTAATAATGCGTTGGAGGGGTTTTAGTTGGGGGCTGAAGGTGACGGCTAGTGGCGTTCTGTTATTTTCTTTGTTAGGCCTGTCCTGTAGTAGGTAACTTCTGGGAACTCTTCTGGCTCTATCAATCTGTTTCTTCACTTCCGCAGGTGGGTATTGTAGTTGTAAGAATGCTTGATAGAGATCTTGTAGGTGTTTGTCTCTGTCTGAGGGGTTGGAGCAAATGCGGTTGTATCGCAGAGCTTGGCTGTAGACGATGGATCGTGTGGTGTGATCAGGGTGAAAGCTGGAGGCATGTAGGTAGGAATATCGGTCAGTAGGTTTCCGGTATAGGGTGGTGTTTATGTGACCATCGTTTATTAGCACTGTAGTGTCCAGGAAGTGGATCTCTTGTGTGGACTGGACCAGGCTGAGGTTGATGGTGGGATGGAAGTTGTTGAAATCATGGTGGAATTCCTCAAGGGCTTCTTTTCCATGGGTCCAGATGATGAAGATGTCATCAATATAGCGCAAGTAGAGTAGGGGCTTTAGGGGACGAGAGCTGAGGAAGCGTTGTTCTAAATCAGCCATAAAAATGTTGGCATAATGTGGGGCCATGCGGGTACCCATAGCAGTGCTGCTGATCTGAAGGTATACATTGTCCCCAAATGTAAAATAGTTATGGGTAAGGACAAAGTCACGAAAGCTCATGCTCAAATAAATTGGTTAGTCTCTAAGGTGCCACAAGTACTCCTTTTCTTTTTGTGGCACCTTAGAGACTCACCAATTTATTTGAGCATAAGCTTTCGTGAGCTACAGCTCACTTCATCGGATGCTTATGCTCAAATAAATTGGTGAGTCTCTAAGGTGCCACAAGTACTCCTTTTCTTTTGACAGTACATAAAGTTTGCCACCTAGTGGTATGTATGAATAATAGCATCTGTTGCATTGTTCGTTGGCTTATGAGTTCAATAAAGTTGTTGTTATGATTATGAATGGCTTCTTGCGGGCAGCTCTTAATGCTGCACATGTTTAGCTTTACCCATGTGAGGCCTGCTGACATCTAAGGGCTCATGGGTGTCAGTGGTTTTATACTCAGAGCTCCAGACCCGTCTGTGCCCAATCCAGAGCTCTGCGTGCTCTGGACAAACTGTGTAGGTATGGGAAGCAGTTGCCTCCCTGCCTGCAGGGACTGTAGTGGAGCACTACATCCTGTGAAAGCAGCCAGGTTGGAGTCACATTATAGGGCAAGTGCCTTTTAAGGAGTGTGCACTGTTCTGCCTGTAGGGACAGGAGGTGTCTTGCTGTCGCAATCCATTTTCCTAAGAGAGGATGTAGCTCAGATGGCAGTTATTTGTGTTGCAGTATCACTCCAGAGGCCCAAATGAAATCGGGCCCCCCCACTTGTGCCAGGTGCTGCACAGACCCTGCCTGAGATTGGGGCCTCCCCTTGTGCCGGGTGCTGTACACACCCCAACTTAGATTGGAAGCCAGTTCTGCTGGGCAGTGCACAGATCCCACCTGATATATGGGCCCTATTATGCCAGGTACTATACAGAACCTACCAATCTCAGTCAGGATCTGTGCAGCACCCAATGTGATGAGGTGTCTTGGTATAGGAACCTACACAGCACTTGGCACTACAGGTATTAGTGTAAAATAAGTAATAACAGCTGGATCATTGCTCCTGGCCTGTGAGGGGTAGAGACCAGATACAAGAGTAGATGGGTCATCGGTCTGATCTGTTGCAGCAGTGCCTCTGTTCTTATTTCCTTTTGTTTATTTCTGTCCCACATAGGGTTGTGGACAGCTTGGTGTCCTGTGGCGCTAACTTCCTTTGTGACAAAATCCACCCTGTGCTGGGCAGGGCTATCAGCCTCCTGATTCCCCGTGAAGTGGCTGAAACTGGCTTCACCGGGGAGCTGGAAGTCACGCCGGCTGCTGCGCTGTGTCCCTGCCTGAAGCTGTATCCCAATCAGCCTGCTAAGATAGTTGCTGTCTCCATATCCTTTACAAGAAAAAATATTTCCACATGGGGCTGACCAGGGCCTCTGCTGCACAGAGGTGAATTGCACCTGGGAGGGATGCTCGAAACATAGGAGTCGCTTCATCAGGAGCCACCATAGCAGAAAGCAGTTTAGCCTGAAACTGTGTGCTGAGCTTCGGTCCTTTGTATTTGTCCAAGATGCGTATCTGGCCCCCACCACTGTAGTGTCTGAGCACCTGAGCATACTTTTACTTTATTTATCTTTCCAATCCCCCAGGAGGCAGGGCAGTGCTATTATTCCCTTTGTACAGCTGGAGAACTAAGGCACAGAGAGGCCAAGTGACTTGCCAAGGTCACCCAGTGCATCTGTGACAGAGCAAGGACTTGAACCTGGGTTTCCCGAGTCTCATGTTAGCACCCTCTCCACTGCAGTGTTCTTCTTCTCAGATAGGCTCACGAGCCATCTCATCCTACTGCAATTTTCACTGGTCACAATGAACAAAGGAGTTAGTTTTAGCTCTTGTGGGGCTCTCATTGATCCTGAGAGACACTGAGGTGTGGATCCAGCACCCCTCAGGGTTAGACCATCCTGAAAAAACTGCCACAGAGAAAATGTGCTGGGTGAAACTCTCATGTGCTGTGTAGCAGGCAAGATAAGGAAGTAAGAATGGTCCGTTGGGCCTTAACATCCACTATAATGTAAAGGACCAGCAGGTCTCCAATATCACACTGCTCCTGGAAATTGCTGTACCTTGTAGTGCCTAAGAACACTAGGACTGAAAGATCAAAGGGTAAATACACATGTCTTTCCAAGGGAGAGGGAAAGGTGTTTGTTGTGCTCAAATTGCTTTGCATTAAGCCTCACAGTGGTTTCTTCCTTAGCCATCAATACATATTTTTTTACGACCCGGCAGGTCTGCCCATATCATTCTATGCAAAGGGGAAATCATCTGTGTTTTTCAATGACCCATCGAACTTAGCAGAATGGGAGAAATACAGCTATAGTACAACATTGGACTCAGATCCAAGGCAGGAAGAAGGTGCTGTCATTCTCAAAGGCAACTGTGTAGAGCTCACAGCCTTCTCAGATTCTAAAGATCTAACCAAGATCAGGCCCGTATTGTGCTGAGTGCTCAACAGTCCCCAGCCAAGATCGGGGCCCTGTTGTCCTGGGTGCTGCACAGATCCCAAATGAGATTAGAGCCCATTGTGATGGGTGCTGCACAGATGCGTATTTAGAGCTTCCCATATTGGCTGGCTCAGATCTCAAGACAAATCAGAATTTGTCTGTAGCCAACAGCACAAGCATCTGAAAATCCATTGATTTGTCACAAAGGATGCACTCAGACTTGAACTGGCGATTTTGTGGCAAAATCTGACCCACCTCACTCCAATCCTGTTGTGTCAATTTGGCAGGGGTGGCCAGTGGTAAAGACAGAGAAGAGAGGAAAGGTATGTCTACACCGCAAAAAACCCTGCGGCAGCAAGTCTCAGAGCCTCTGTCAACTACAGGGCTAAATATAGCAGTGCAGGTGTTCAGGCTTGGGCTGGAGATCAGGCTGTGAAACCCGGTGGTGGGGGTGGGTCTCAGAGCCTGGACTCCAACCCGAGCCCAATTGTCTACACCAGCGGTTCTCAAACTGTGGGTCACGACTCCATTTTAATGGGGTTGCCAGGGCCAGCATTAGACTTGCTGGAACCCCTGGCTGAAGCTGAAGCCTGAGCTTCACCCCCACCCTGGGCAGCGAGGCTCAGGCTGTGGTCCCATCTTCCCCCACTTGGGGTGGTGTGGCTTGTGATCCGCCCCCACCCGGGGTCATGTAGTAACTTTGTTATCAGAAGGGAGTCACAGTGCAATGAAGTTTGAGAACCCCTGGTCTACACTGCTAGTTTTGTCCCCTTGCCTCAAGCTCAAGTCAGTTGACCTGGGCTCCGAGACGGGCTATTTCTGTGGTAGACATACCCTCGGGACAGGGCTGTGGAGTGAAGTTGGGGGGCTAGACAGGCAGGCACAAGAATGGGACTCAGGACTCATGGCTTCTATTCTGTCTCCTGATATTAACCTTGGGCAAGTCCCTTTCCTCCTGGTGGCTCTGTTTCTCCTCCCCCTTTTTGGAGCATGGACTCTCTTGTGTGTCTGTGCGGGGCCTGGCCTGGCAGGGGCCACAATCTCAGTCCAGGTCTCTGAAACACCAGCACGATGGGGCCTGGATCGTAAATGGTGCCTCTAGGTAGCACTATCATGCTATTAAGTAGCAGTAATACCCAGTGGTCATTATTAGAGCCCCTTCTTTCTCCATCATGCCATTTTGTGGCACTGAGAAGCCCTGTGGCAGCAGGATCCCAAAGTTCTTTTAGGTACCTAAATGAGGGCAAGATTTTCCTGAATGCTTCTACCCTAAAATACTGAACAAACCATGCCATTCTCTGTCGCCCATTTGAAAAATTTCCCAGCATGCACCTTTGCGCTTTCCCCCATGCTGCCCCTTCATGCATGGTGAGAGCTGCCTGCAAACATCCTCAAAGCCACCTTGCTATCCTTCCACCCCTATTAGCCCCCATTTGCTGTGCACTGCAAAACGTTCCCCAGGGGCTGTGCAGCTGGTGAGTTGGGAGTGCTGCTGAGTGTGCAGATTGCAAGCATTTCATTGCTTCTCTTTGCTCTCCCTGTCTCTTGGTTTTGCCGGTGGCTATGATCTAACATCAAGGCTTTATCTGCTCACCCAAGTTGTGCTGTGCCTGGGTAGTTAAGGTGGTGCAGCCCCCTAGTGTAGACACAATTATCCTGGGATTAATGTGCTTTCGGCCAGTATAGTTATTCCCTAAGCTGTACCAGGATAAGGCACCTTTATCCTGGAATAACTGCATCCACACTAGGAACTGTCCCACTATAACTAGATCAGTTAAACAAAACACCCCCTGGCATTGCTTATAGCAGGAAGAAGGCTGGATGTAGACCTGGCTGTTGAGTGCGAGCTCTTTGAGTCAGGGAACAGTCTCTTTGTTTCGTTTGGACAGCGCCTAGCAGAACTGGCATTACCACAGTGCAGCCTAAGTGGGATCTGAGCAGTGGGAAGTCGTGGATGCTGAGCGCCATCCTAGCAGCAGCGCTGCACCAATATCATGAAGCCGTTTGCTTGATTAAAGATGGCAGCACTGGCTGTGTCTCTGTGTATAAAAATGCTGCTTGATGTTCCATTGCCCCCCAGATCGAGTGAACCCAGACGTCAGATATAAACTTCACTGGGAAGGTGGAAGCCAAGTAGATGATCCGGATACCTGGGAGCAGACCCTGTTGCTCTTCCTCTTTCTCCACTACTCAGACCAGTTTCAAGATAAGCCATTTTACGATTTCTGTATGTATAAAATCGCTTGACTGTTTTCCAGGGTAACATCCCAGCCCAAATCTTGGGCTTATCTTCCCCTAGAGGCTGGAAACAAAAACTGCAGTGTTGTATATGATTAGGTCCTAGAGCCCCAACCAAGATCGGGGCCCCTGTTGTGCCAAGAGCTGCACAGACCCCAACTGAGATCAGTGTCCCAGCGTGCCTGGTGCTGCACAGACCTCACCGAGGTGGGGGCTCCTGGCATGGCAGGCATTGCATCGGCTCCAGATGAGATGGGGGTTCCTGGCATGACAGACATTGCACCGGCTCCGAAGGAGGTGGGGGTCCCCAGCATGCTGGGTGCTGCACAGACCCTAGTGCAGTGCTAGGGGGCACTATGCTGCAGGGAACATGAGAGAGCCCTGTTGATGTTGCGGGGTTTGTGCAGCACCTGGAAGGACAGGGCGCTGCTCTCACTCAGGATCTGTGCAGCACTGGGGACCTGGTCTTGGTTGGATCCTCGGGGCAGCCCTGCAACATAAATAATAACTGATTTGCCTTTGGGATTTTGACCTGTTTTTTGACTCCTTGGATCATCATCGCCTAAAAATGACTCTTCCCTAAGCAAACCAAACCCCATGTAAACGAACCCCGAACTGTTGTGACTCAGGGGCCCGGCGCATGATTGCATCCTATATGGACCAGATTCTCCTGTGCAGCCAGCAGGCAGTGAAGCGCGGAGTCCAGGTTGTCATTGACGCAATGCTAGAGGAGCACTGCAAGAGGGTGAAGGTAGGAGCTTGTACTGGTATGTGTATTAGGCAGCACTGAACCCATGAATCTGAGATCACAGGGTTAGCTCTTCTATCCGGGCTCCTCTCTCCATCCTCTCTGAGCCTGCTGTTGTACTGGGGTGAGTTGTGCTCTTGCCTGCTTTTTCTGTTCTCATTGTTTTATTACTGGGTCAAGTTGGCTTTCACCGCATATCCTGCAGCCAGACTCCTGTGAACTGTGCTCTCAGGAGATTTTGCCAGCTCAGCAGCTTGGGATTTGGTTAGGACTTGGGTTGGAAATGTCTGCACAAAACTTCAGGTTCCACAAGAAGTGGTGTGGGTGACTCAGCAGGAACTGTTCCCTCTTCTGAGTCAGTGAGCTGCTGCAGACACTGTGCTATAGAGAGAAGGGTGGGGGAGCCGCAGGGGGCACTCTCCCTTTGGAGTCTGTGCTGAACCCAGTGTGGCATTAGGGCATGCTGTGCTAAATGGAACAGTGCTAGGCCCTCAGTAGGGGGTGCTGTCCTTTTGGGATTAGTCCCAGCCCCAGTTCTCCAGGGCTGTGCTAGGCGATGCTGTACTGCTGCGGATGACATCATCTGAAAGGGACATAAACCCGCTATATGCATGGTGCTTTTCCTAGGTGTCAGGCTGATCCCACAATGTGCTGAGCCAATTTCAGTAGGACTGTCTCATTCTGACCCCCCAAGCTTCCCCACCACAGGATCTGCCTTGGTTTTCTGATCTGTCCCTGGGTGGCCAGATGTCGATGGGAATGGAAATGTTCAGTAAAATGTTCTTGGCCCTTCCCAGAACCAGCGGAGGTTGAAGCTGTCCCTGCCCGTCATCCTAAGTGCCATTTCCAGCGTGGTGTCTAGCAGCACTAACAGCCAGTTCAGAAGGGAATGTCTACAGAGTTTGCAGGTTTGTATGTGGTGGATTTTTTAGGATATAATTCTCCATAAGAGGCAGCATGGTCTAGTGACTAGCTGTGCTGACTCAACTGGAACTCAGGGCTACTGTGATCTATTTATGGCTCAGCCACTGACCTGCTGGGTGATCTTGGGCAAGTCCCTTCCCCTCTTGGGGCCTCAGTTGCCCCTCCCACCCTTTGTCTATTTAGATTGTGAGCTTTTCAGGGGAGGCACTCTATCTCACTATGCATATGTGCAGGGCCTGACATAATGGGGGCCCCAGTCTCACTTGGGGTCAGGGCAGCTCCTGGCAAGACAGGGCCCCCAAGCTTGGTCAGGGTCTGTGCAGCATCTGGCATAATGATACCCTGATCTCAGTTGAGGTCTGTGCAACCCCCAACAGAATTGGACACTGATGAAAGTGGTAGCCTTCCAGGGCTACTATAATATTAATAATGTCATGAGAGGAGTCACCAGATGGCACTCAAGTATCAGGGGGTAGCCGTGTTAGTCTGTATCCACAAAAACAATAAGGAGTCCGGTGGCACCTTAAAGACTAATAGATTTATTTGGGCATAAGCTTTCATGAGTAAAACTCCACTTCTTCAGATGCATGGAGTGAAAATTACGGATGCAAGCATCATATACCGACACATGAAGAGAAGGGAGTTACCTCACAAGTGGAGAATCAGTGTTGACAGGGCCAATTCAATCAGGGTGGATGTAGTCCACTCCCAATAACTGATGATGAGGAGTCAATTCCAGGAGAGGCAAAGCTGCTTTTGAAATGAGCCAGACACTCCCAGTCCCTATTCAAGCCCAACTTAATGGTGTTAAATTTGCAAATGAATTTTAGTTCTGCAGTTTCTCTTTGAAGTCTGTTTCTGAAGTTTTTTTGTTCAAGTATAGCTACTTTAAAATCTGTTATGGAATGTCCATGAAGATTGAAGTGTTCTCCTACTGGCTTTTGTATGTTACCATTCCTGATGTCCGATTTGTGTCCATTTATTCTTTTACGTAGGGACTGTCCGGTTTGGCCAATGTACATGGCAGAGGGGCATTGCTGGCACATGATGGCATATATAACATTAGTAGACATGCAGGTGAATGAGCCCCTGATGGTGTGGCTGATGTGGTTGGGTCTTCTGATGGTGTTGCTAGAGTAGATATGGGGACAGTAGGCAACAAGGTTTGCTACAGGGATTGGTTCCCGGGTTAGTGTTTCTGTGGTGTGGTGTGTAGTTGCTGGTGAGTATTTGCTTCAGGTTGGGGAGCTTTCTGTAAGCGAGACCTAGCCTGTCTCCCAAGGTCTGTGAGAGTGAGGGATCGTTTTCCAAGATAGGTTGTAGATCGTTGATAATGTGCTGGAGAAGTTTTAGCTGGGGGCTGTATGTGATGGCCAGTGATGTTCTGTTATTTTCCTTGTTGGGCCTATCCTGTAGTAGGTGATTTCTGGGTACCCGTCTCGCTCTGTCAATCTGTTTCCTCACTTCCTCAGGTGGGTACTGTAATTTTAAGAGAGCTTGATAAAGATCTTAGAATCATAGAATATCAGGGTTGGAAGGGACCTCAGGAGGTCATCTAGTCCAACCACCTGCTCAAAGCACAACCAATCCCCAATTTTTTTCCCCAGATCCCAAATGGCCCCCTCAAGGATTGAACTCACAACCCTGGGTTTAGCAGGCCAATGCTCAAACCACTGAGCTATCCCTTGCACCCACCCCCAAAAAATCTTGTAGGTGTTTGTCTCTGTCTGAGGGATTGGAGCAAATTTGGTTGTATCTTCGGGCTTGGCTGTAGACAATGGATCGTGTGATGTGTCCTGGATGGAAGCTGCAGGCATGTAGGTAAGTATAGCGGCCAGTAGGTTTCTGGTATAGGGTGGTGTTTATGTGACCATCACTTATTTGCACTGTAGTGTCCAGGAAGTGGATCTCTTGTATGGACTGGTTCAGGCTGAGGTTGATGGTGGGGTGGAAATTGTTGAAATCCAGGTGGAATTCCTCAAGGGCCTCCTTCCTGTGGGTCCATATGATGAAGATGTAATCAATGTAGCACAAGTAGAGGAGGGACGCTAGGGGACGAGAGCTGAGGAAGTGTTGTTCTAAGTCAGCCATAAAAATGTTGGCATACTGTGGGGCCATGCGGGTACCCATAGGAGTGCCACTGACTTGAAGGTATAAGTTGTCCCCAAATCTGAAATGGTTGTGGGTGGGGATAAAGTCACAAAGCTCAGCCACCAGGTGTGCCATGGCTTTATCAGGGATACTGTTCTTGACAGCTTGTGTGGAATATTGGTGTAAAGAGCTTCTACATCCATGGTGGCCAGGATGGTGTTTTCAGGAAGATCACCAGATGGCACTGTCATACAGTCTTCCAAGTTGTTTAAGTCCCCTGTGAGCAAGTTTTTAGTATTTGAAGAGATGCTGTGATACTAGTGTTGTGATGCCACGGTTCTTGGAGAGATGTCATGGCAGGTGGCAGAGAGTTTGCTGTTTGCTCTGTTCTCTGGATTTGGAGGCAACTCTTGGGCTTCATTGCTCCCCCCAGAATTCTGCTCCCCCCCAGCAGAGGGATGAAAACATCATCATTAGATGAAGTGCTATTGTAGTGCTTGTAAGGATAAACGTAGCTTAAGATCTCTTGCAAACCATGGAGGCATGAGAACTCTTCAAAGGAGAGGTCTCAAGAATCCAAAGCACCTTTCCCCAGGTGACTGTATTCTATTAATGTGTCCAGGTTTCAGATACCCCAGAGCTAATGGCAGCCATTCAAACAGCCTTTGAAAATGTCACTCGGAAGCGACTGATGCCCAGTGGCACATGCAGCATCACAAAAGTAAGTCAGTTTCACCCTGTGGCTCCCTCTTTGAGGCCCTGTATACTGATCTGTGTCTGTCACCTGTCACCATACATATCCACCCACCCACCAACTCCATGCTCGTGACCATGGTATGTGAGCACCTTTTAGCCATCAGAGATAGCAGAGATGGAAAGCGTCTACTGAATCCCATGTGGCCCGAGTCCCTACAGACTATTCCCTGTGGATTGTTCCATCAGAGATGGAGACACCCCACATCAGATCCCATCTACCCCATCCCTCTCTGGGACCCAGGGTAGGATTACCCCCCTGTAAATTATCCCCCAGGATCTTGTTCAGCCGGTTTTCAATGCCCTTCAGTCTTATATTAGAAAAATATCTTCATTCTGCTATCACCTGCTGCTGGGAAAAAACCAAACAGTTACTCTCTTGTATTGTAACTGTTGTTCTGCAAGATATGAACTCCACTCAGGTGTGTGTGCACCCAGCACTCAGAAGTCAGAGAACTTTCCCTAGCCATAACCATGGGTTGGTGCTCATGTCCTATGGCCCCTTCGGCCCTCCCCAGGCTGTTTAAGGGCTCCAACCCCCCCTTATTCCTTCACACCAAACATTACATGGTAACACTCCAATGCAGAGGGGACAGAGGGTGGGGCATGGAAGACACCTCTTCACCCACATCTCGAAGAACAACAGTTACTGTCCAGGTAGGTAACCACTCTTCTTTGAGCGGGTGCAGACGTGTATTTCACTCAGGGGACTCACAAACCAAGTTAAGGGGCAGGGCTCAGAGTCTACTTAAAGAACAATTGCAGCACTTGCCTTCCCAAAATTTGCATCTGATCTAGATGCAGCCCTAATAGCATAATGCTTGGTAAAAGTATGTATGGCAGACCAAGGAGCTGCCCTGCAAATGTCCAATATCGAAACATCATTGAGGAAGCTGATTAATATTGCTTGGGCCCTTTTGTTCAGGCTGTGCTTTCATGGTATGTATACCGAGCGCAGCCATCCCTGTAGGCAGCACATGTGTAATCGAGAGTGTTTTCCTACGAAGGTGGTGGCCGCCATATGTCCCAGTAGTTGAAGGCAGGTGTGTGCTGATACTCGTGGGCTGTTTGTGACCACTGATATGAGAGTGGTCAGTGCACGAATCTGGTCATTGGTGATGATGCTTTGGCCTCTACGAGTCTAGGTGTTCTCCAATAAAGTCCAATTGTTGTACTGGTTTTAGAGTAGATTTCAGCATAGGCGCTCCTGGGCTGGAGCACCCACAGAAAAAAAAAATAGTGGGTACTGAGCACCCACTGGCAGGCCCCTCTTCCCCCCAGCGCCAGGTCCCGCCGATCAGCTCATCCGCGTCCCCCGCAATGCCTCCCGCCAGCTGCCATCAGCTGTTTGGCGGCGTGCTGTGGGAGGAACAGGGGGCGGGCCTGGGCAATGCATGGCCCAGATGCAGGGAGTGGAAGGGACAGGACTAGCCCCTTCCAGCCACTGAGATGCTGTTCTCCAGCCCTGCGCGACAGTTGCCTGAGAGAGCATGGCTGGGGAGGTGACTCCCACTGCCTGCCAGGGTTCGGGTGCTGGGATCCCTGGCAGCCAAGCCAGGCAGGGAGTGGAAGCCAACTCCTCCCCAGCTAGGCTCTCAGACAGCTGCCAGGCAGGACTGCAAAGCAGCGACCGGGAGGGGCCAGCGTTAAAAGCAGCTCCCTTCTGCTCCCCTCTTGGACTCCTGGGGAGCAGGGAGAGCAGCATAACGTGCGGAGAGGGCAGGCGCAGTGGGAGGACAAAGCCCCCCCAGGTAACATGGGGAAGGGAGAGTGTGCTGGCCCCGGGGCTGGGCGCAGGGGGACACACACGTGACCTGCCCTTGTGCTTGTGCCCCCCCACTATGGGGAGGCACCAGTTGAATATGGGGTATCCTTGGGGGACGGGGTGGAGCAGGGGCAGGAAGAGGTGGGGTGGGGCATTGGGGGAAGGGGTGGGGCCTAGGATGGAGCAGGGGGTTGAGCACCACCTGGGAAATCTGGAAGTCAGTGCCTATGGATTTCAGTTTCTTAATTTGTAACCTAAGGGTGTGAAAGAGGGTGATATTCCTCTGGGGAATATTTATTGTTTCTGCTTGAGTAGGTCCTTTCAGTGGGCAGTTGTCTAGGTACTGGAAGATCAATATTCCCTGTCTGCGTAAATGCACCACTACTACTGCTAGGGTTTTGGTAAAAACTCTCAGGGCCGTCAAAAGTCCGAAGGGTAGCACTCTGTACTGGAAGTGGTCTTTTCCTGTTGTGAATCGTAGGAACCGTCTGCATGCGGGAAGGATGGTAATATGAAAGTATGCCTCTTTTAGGTCGAGGGCCGAGAACCAGGCCCCCTTTTCCAGCACTGGGATCACTGAGTTTAATGTGACCATCTGTGGATACGGACAAACTTGTTAAGTTTTCTGAGATCTAATATAGGTCTCCATCCACGGTTTTTGTTTTGAGTCAGGAAATAGTAGGAATAAAATCTCTTCCCCTTGTGTTGTGTTGGAACTTGTTCCACGGCACCTAGTTGTAGAAGATGATTCACTTCTTGTCGTAGAAGGTGCTCGTGAGAAGGGTCCCTGAAGAGGGACAGGGAAGGGGGATGGGTAGGTGGAATGAAAATAAAAGGGATGGTATAACCTGTGTGGATGATCTCTAATACCCAGTGGTCTGTGGTGATGGAGGCCTGCGTATAATAAAATGGTCATAGCCGATGACCAAAGGTCTGGGTTGTTTGTAGTATTGGCGCTGGTTGTTGGGGGAGGTCAGTCAGACCCTTGACCAACGTTTCAAAATTGCATCTTGGCTTATGGTGCTTGGGACGCCACAGACTGAGACTGGGAAGGATAACGTCTCTGTGGCTAGTGTCTTTGTCTCTGGTTGTCGAATTGTCTCTGTTGTTGTTGCAATGTATTGTCTCTGTTGCGGGAGTATGGTTGGTATTTCCTCCTTCTGTTTGGGGTTGTGTAAATGCTGAGTGTTCTTAGTGTCGCTCATGAGTCCTTCATGGAATGTAGGACCTCATCTGTCTTGGTGGAGAACAGCTTATCCCTATCAAATGGGAGGTCTTCTACCTTAATTTGAAGTTCCCTCAGGATTCCCGAAGAATGTAGCCATGAAGCTCTGCACATTACTATTGCTATTGTGCATGCGGCTGTGTCTGCGACATCGAGGGATGCTTTGGGTGCTGTTCTGGCTACGAGCTGTCCCTCGTTAATGATGGCTTGGAATTGTTCCTTCTTGTCCTCTGAGATTTCATCAAGGAACTCATTCAGTTTAGTGTAATTATTGTGGTTTTTGTTGCTAGTAACGCTGTGTAGTTGGCCGTGTGGAATTGCAGAGTTGCCAAAGAGTAGACTTTCCACCCAAATAGATTTAATCTCTTCCAATCCTTGTCTTGGAGTGTGGATCAGGATTGTAGTTGTTTACCCCATTGGTTGCCCCCATCCACCACTAAGGGTATGTCTACACTACGAAATTAGGTCGAATTTATAGAAGTCAGTTTTTTAGAAATCGTTTTTATATAGTCTATTGTGTGTCCCCACACAAAATGCTCTAAGTGCATGAAGTGCATTAGCTCGGCGGAGTGCTTCCACAGTACCGAGGCTAGCGTCGACTTCCGGAATGTTGCACCGTGAGTAGCTATCCCACAGTTCCCGCAGTCTCTGCTGCCCATTGGAATTCTGGGTTGAGATCCCAATGCCTGATGGGGCAAAAAACATTATCGCGGGTGGTTCTGGGTACATGTTGTCAGGCCCTCCCTCCCTCCTTCCCTCCGTGAAAGCAATGGCAGACAATCGTTTCACGCCTTTTTTCCTGAGTTACTTGTGCAGACGCCATACCACGGCAAGCATGGAGCCCACTCAGATCACTGTGGCAATTAGGAGCACATTATCCAGCAGTATATGCAGCACCAGAACCTGGCAAAGCAAAACCGGGCGAGTAGGCAACGTCAGCACGGTGACGAGAGTGATGAGGACATGGACAAAGACTTCTCTCAAAGCACGGGCCCTGGCAATGTGGGCATCATCGTGCTAATGGGGCAGGTTCATGCGGTGGAACGCAGATTCTGGGCTCGGGAAACAAGCACAGACTGGTGGGACCACATAGTGTTGCAGGTCTGGGACAATTCCCAGTGGCAGCGAAACTTTCGCATGTGTAAGGGCACTTTCATGGAACTTTGTGACTTGCTTTCCCCTGCCCTGAGGCACAAGAATACCAAGATGAGAGCAGCCCTCACAGTTGAGAATTGAGTGGCAATAGCCAGGTGGAAGCTTGCAACGCCAGACAGCTACCCGTCAGTCAGGAATCAATTTGGAGTGGACAAATCTACTGTGGGGGCTGCTGTGATGCAAGTAGCCAACGCAATCAAAGATCTGCTGATATCAAGGGTAGTGACCCTGGGAAATATGCAGGTCATAGTGGATGGCTTTGCTGCAATGGGATTCCCTAACTGTGGTGGGACCATAGACGGAACCCATATCCCTATCTTGGCACCGGAGCACCAAGCCGGCAAGTACATAAACCGCAAGGGGTACTTTTCAATAGTGCTGCAAGCACTGGTGGATCAGAAGGGATGTTTCATCAATATAAACATGGGATGGCCGGAAAAGGTACATGATGCTCACATCTTCAGGAACTTTGGTCTGTTTCAAAAGCTACAGGAAGGGACTTTATTCCCAGACCAGAAAATAACCGTTGGGGATGTTGAAATGCCTATAGTTATCCTTGGGGACCCAGCCTACTCCTTAATGCCGTGGCTCATGAAGCCATACACAGGCACCCTGGACAGTAGTCAGGAGCTGTTCAACTACAGGCTGAGCAAGTGCAGAATGGTGGTAGAATGTGCATTTGGACGTTTAAAGGCGCGCTGGCGCAGTTTACTGACTCGCTTAGACCTCAGCCAAACCAATATTCCTACTGTTATTACTGCTCGCTGTGTGCTCCACAATCTCTGTGAGAGTAAGGGGGAGACGTTTATGGCGGGGTGGGAGG